AGAAGATGGTTGGGTGCTACCATCTGCTTGGGATCCTATAATTAACAAAATTAAACCCAAACCCAAGCATACCACTGCAAGACTTCATGATACTATAAGCTCGTTTTGCGTAAATCGGACCAAAAATTAATATTAAAAAAAAACTGAAGTTAGCCGGACTAACTATGACATTGGGACGTCAAACATCTCGGTCCCCCCGTGACCATGGGTGCTGTAAAGCACCCGAAACATCGGGATAATACTAAAAATAAATTAAAGTAATTAAACGCGATAAAATACATGGTATATGGTATATGGCGATATCTATGGTATAAGTGATGTGTAATAAAAAGTATCCATCTAAATCTAAATAGCGTCATAACGTGACAAAAGAGTTAAAAAAATGGTTAAAAAACTCACAAAAAAGTGTTAAGTATATTACAGGTGTAGAGCTTGAATTGAAACTCAGAAAGATGGAATATGTCAGAGTCAACAAAGTTATTATTATAGATATCAATCATTTGACGGAGAGGTGAGCTGATACTCGCTTTGGTACGACCTTTAGCAGTTGCAAACAGCTTACGAACGCGCACCTCCCGCCTATGAACCGTTCTTGGGACAATATAACATAATCTGTTGGTCAAGTCAGTACAATCAAATTTATTATTAATGATACCATGATGTCCATACATACAAGGAGTTTACGCCTAAACTGAAGAGAATGCAGTTTATACCTATTCAACAACTGATCATATGACAATGTAAATGTGCCATAACACCTGTAGTGCATGGATCGCAGAAATATCTGCGATCCACGCTGCACATTTTCAATTAAGTCTACATACTTATTGTACAGAGGGTTCCATATTGGTATGGCATACTCAAGTTGGGAGCGTGCCAAGGCTTTATAAAGATAAAGATACGTACAGGGTTTCTTAAAGTTCTTACATGACCTCATCACAAAACCATACATTTGATAGGCTTTTTTAACAATTTTGTCAATATGGAGATCCAAATGCAACTTATTATCCAATATGATACTTGTTTGATGTGACTTTGTTTAATAAGACATTACAAAGAGAATAGCTATAATGTACAATATGATAATGATTTCTTATACTTACGCGAACACTATACATTGATTAAAACTACTTTTACGGATTTTATCGCGTTTTATTTATATTAATTTTAATACCCGACGTTTCGGGTGCTTTCCAGCACCCATGGTCACGGGGGACTGAGGTGACTGACGTCCCGATGTCAAAGTTACATGTTGATGACCATGGGTGCTGGAAAGCACCCGAAACGTCGGGTATTAAAATTAATATAAATAAAACGCGATAAAATCCGTAAAAGTAGTTTTAATCAATGTACAATATGATGTTTTTTGAAAAAGTTATATAACTACATTTGGACAGGTCTTAAATGCAGTTTATTTTCATTGCAGTATTCAGAAAGTCTGTTCAAATCCTGTTGTATTAGAAAGCAATCAGAGATAGATGTTATAGATTTATAAAATTTTAAGTCGTCTGCATACAACAAAAAGTTACAATTGTGAAAACACTGTCCTATATCATTAATAAAAATGATAAATAAAAGCGGACCAAGGATGGATCCTTGTGGCACCCCTGAAGTCACATGAATACTCTGAGATTGAAACCCATTGATAACTACTTTTTGGCTTCTGTTCATAATGTATGACGAAAACCAGCGTAATAGATTAACCCGTATGCCATTATAGGCAATTTTATTTAAAAGCAGTTCATGGTCTGCCTTGTCGAAGGCTTTTCGAAAGTCGGTATATACAGCATCCGTTTGAACATTATTGTCCATATTATCACAAAGAAAGGATACATAGATCATGAGATTAGTGATAGTGGATCTTCCCTTTATGAAGCCATGTTACTCTTTCAATATGCTATCATGTATAACTGGATAAACTTCATTATGAACCAGTCTTTCGAAAAGCTTCGACAAGACAGACAGAATAGAGATTGGTCTGTAATTATCCACCTCATGCCTTGAGCCGTTTTTATGTACAGGCACTATGTTTGCCCTTTTCCAGATCTCAGGCAAGATCCCAGCTGCAATACATTGGTTATAAATAATACACAGAGGCTTACAAATACAAACAGAAGTTTTAACTAGAAAAAGAGATGGAAGTCCATCTGGGCCAGAACCTTTTGACGGGTCTAAAGATTGAAGTTCTCTGAGGACCTTACTTTCACTAAAATATGGATCGCATAAATGAACATTTTAAGGAACAGATGTCGAAGGTTCAGACCAATTTTCAATAGACAAAGTTGAAGGTCATATACTGAGTTGAAAAACTTAGAGAATAAATCACAGATCATATCAGGTTCACCGGCTACAAAACCATGTATAACACATGTGCGAGGGAACACAAGACGATGTTTTGTTATTGGAAATGAAAGACCAAAAATGTTTAACATTGTTTTGAATACTATTTTCAATAGAGCTAATATATCTAGAGAAACATTTACGAGATTCCAATTTGAAACGTTGCCTATAAATTGAGAACTGTTCATAATCAGATGCATTTTTATACTTTTTCCATCTAACCCATGATTTACGTTTGTTATTTGCGATGTGAATTAGGGAAGATGTAAACCACACCGGATATCTTGCAGATCTGTAGGACGCTGGTGGGGTATGGTTATCAATTATATTAAAAACTACATTATAGAAAACCTCAACTGCCTCTTCGACATCAATTGTATTTAGCAATGAAGACCAGTCTAGTTTATCCAAATCTTCAATTATAAACTCATAATTAGCTTTGTGGAAGTTGTACTTCAAAATAGATTGTCGACGCATAGTAGGTAACGGTATGGTATTAAATATGAAATTAATACTAAACGGCGGGTGATGATTGTCCCTAGGTAAAGGAGTATTCGCAAGCGGAGTGATACTATATTCAATATTGGAAATCAATAAATCTAGTATATTACCTCGAATGTTTTTAATGAAATTATACTGACTAGCATCATGAAGCGACATAAAGTTAGAAAGTTGGGTAGATAGCGGTGACAATGCACTACAATCCAAAGCTCCAATATTTTTAAAAATAAATTATAATCACCAAAAAATGAAAATCCTACTACGGAGGTTTCTTGATGAAATGTTGTTAATAGCTCTAAATACGCAGAATATGTATCAACTGAAGTTTTAGGAGGTATATAGACTGCAGCAATAATATGACGCTTAAAGCTGCATGAGCTAGGAAGGCAAACGCACACATTCTCAATGCTATCCAACAAAGTGTTCTCATACCCCAGGATAATAGGCATAGGTCTTAACCCTTCAGAACTGCAATCAAGACACCACCCCCGTCGCTCTTGCCAGTAACGCTACGATTGCGATCACAACGGTACTCGTATAACGCTGATCTATGCATTCGCTATTATCAATTTCTGGTATTAACCAAGTTTCCGTCAGAATAATAAGGTCATATGCATGAGATAAAATATTCATATACAATGTATGTAGCTTAATACGAATACCTCTGCAGTTTTGATAATAACACACTATATTAACCATTCTTATAGTCAGAATAATAAATTAATGTTACCATGCAATGATATGAAAACGTCGCATTCAGGCATAAAAAATATATAATGAGTACGAACCCCGTACGATATGATACTTTAGATAATAGATGATTGCATACACTCCCAACTTTAATAAGGCGATGAAACAACTTTATTAACAATTCGACTGCACATACACAATCTTGTCAGATTCGATTGATACACCATATCAATAGCAAATGAGCTACGACAAAAAACATATATAACATCAAAAATTGAAAAAAGAAAAAACACTATTTTAGGATAGTAAGTAAATGCCAAATTATTTGGAAATATCGCTAAGTTTCTTACTAGAACACTATACTACTTGCATAGATCAGCGTTATACGAGTACAGTTTACCGTTGTGATCGCAATCGTAGCGTTACTGGCAAGAGCGACGGGGGTGGTGTCTTGATTGCAGTTCTGAAGGGTTTAAAACCTATGCCTATTATCCTGGGGTATGAGAACACTTTGTTGGATAGCATTGAGAATGTGTGCGTTTGCCTTCCTAGCTCATGCAGCTTTAAGCGTCATATTATTGCTGCAGTCTATATACCTCCTAAAACTTCAGTTGATACATATTCTGCGTATTTAGAGCTATTAACAACATTTCATCAAGAAACCTCCGTAGTAGGATTTTCATTTTTTGGTGATTATAATTTATTTTTAAAAATATTGGAGCTTTGGATTGTAGTGCATTGTCACCGCTATCTACCCAACTTTCTAACTTTATGTCGCTTCATGATGCTAGTCAGTATAATTTCATTAAAAACATTCGAGGTAATATACTAGATTTATTGATTTCCAATATTGAATATAGTATCACTCCGCTTACGAATACTCCTTTACCTAGGGACAATCATCACCCGCCGTTTAGTATTAATTTCATATTTAATACCATACCATTACCTACTATGCGTCGACAGTCTATTTTGAAGTACAACTTCCACAAAGCTAATTATGAGTTTATAATTGAAGATTTGGATAAACTAGACTGGTCTTCATTGCTAAATACGAATGATGTCGAAGAGGCAGTTGAGGTTTTCTATAATGTAGTTTTTAATATAATTGATAACCATACCCCACCAGCGTCCTACAGATCTGCAAGATATCCGGTGTGGTTTACATCTTCCCTAATTCACATCATCGCAAATAACAAACGTAAATCATGGGTTAGATGGAAAAAGTATAAAAATGCATCTGATTATGAACAGTTCTCAATTTATAGGCAACGTTTCAAATTGGAATGTCGTAAATGTTTCTCTAGATATATTAGCTCAATTGAAAATAGTATTCAAAACAATGTTAAACATTTTTGGTCTTTCATTTCCAATAACAAAACATCGTCTTGTGTTCCCTCGCACATGTGTTATACATGGTTTTGTAGCCGGTGAACCTGATATGATCTGTGATTTATTCTCTAAGTTTTTCAACTCAGTATATGACCTTCAACTTTGTCTATTGAAAATTGGTCTGAACCTTCGACACTAGAACAGGCTTTAATCTTAGAGATGTATCCCCGAGTTCGTATAGCGATAGCCGCATGGTTGTTTGATTCCCGTACAAGTATTGTAGCGTGCTTAATCCAAACGTATTGGTAGTTTTCTTTCTTTGCAGTTTCACGGCAGTCACGAAAGAGCTTCTTCTTTTCCAATGTTAAATGCTCATTCATAAAAACCAACTTGGGTATACCTGAAATGCCAATATCATTGGTTGTAACACCTTTAGCCTTGCGAAATGTACTCAGTATGTTGTCTCTTAATATTCGTGATGAAACCTTTACAATAATATTTTTGGTCGATTTGTATGGGTTTGCGCTTGTGAAACACGATGAATAGAAAGGATATCTCTCTGCTGTATAGATAGATTAATATGTTTACCAAAATTAGCCACTAGTTCCATCAAGTATTCATTCCTTTTTTTCTGGGACACCACATATCTCAATGTTACGGCTCCTAGCATGCTGCTCCAAAGCTTCGATGTTCGACTTAAGAGAAGATACGATTTCGATGGTTTTTTATTTTTTACACAATCAGTCTCTAGCTTTTCAACGCGTTGTCCCAATTTGTCATTCATGTCACAATTAAAGTCCAGTGCATTCTGGATCTCCAATACATCTCTTTGTAAGTTATCATGCTTGTTCTCTATTAGGTGTAATTTCTGTTTTAAATTAGTCTGGTCATGACGCAGAGACGCAAGTTCACCCTTTATGTCCTTCATGGTGACAGATAGTGTATCCAAGTCGGACCGCATTAAATCGATATTCTCACTAATGTTGATTAAAACTACTTTTACGGATATTATTGCACTTACTGATGGTTTAACAATGACATCAAGACGTCAGTCATCTCAGTCCCCCGTGACCATGGGCACCGGAAAGCGCCCGAAACGTCGGGAATTAAAAATAAAAGTAATTAAAAGTAAAATAAACGCGATAATATCCGTAAAAGTAGTTTTAATCAATGTGTAGTGTTCGCGTAAATATAAGAAATCATTATTCTCACTAATGTTTGATATTTTATTATTTAAATCTTCTCTCAAATCTTTGAGCATGTTTTGCATCATATATGTAAATTGCTTAAAAGATTCCTTTAACTCACAGTCAGGTTGTTTGCGTTTCCGCTTTCTGCAGTGACACATTTTGTAGTGCATCATTTTCTATGCTCAAATCAGGGTTAGATGAAATGGCTTGGATGGTGAACGCAGCATAGTAGTGCAAAATCCAAAGTATTATCGATTAGAATGTGAACAAAAATAAATATTATTTATTTCCGTATCAATAAAGTATCGTTAGTACCTTGGTAGGCCGTGTGACGTAGTAGATGACGAACGATCACGATTCAAGTGATGTTATGTGAGGTAGGTCATGGCCGGCGAAATATTTTATATATGTATAAATACGCTGTTTTCTCTTCAATTTCACGTCAGAATGGAACAAACTATATCTTGTTTTGAAGGTCACTTTACAGTCATAAAGGCCAAAGTAATATATTTAGCACTTTGCAAAGGTTTTACTATAAATTTTATAGAAAAACACGGAGAGTAATGACAAAGGTTGTTGCTCAGCGGTTGTTCGCGCGTGGTTTTTTAGACTGGTAAGTACTTACTTTCTCCGTACTTACTTACATTATTTCTACGCTGTTCAGGTTTTTTATTATTTTAACTATATATTTAGAAAATTTCGTTTGACGGAGGATGGAGACTAAGGTGACTGTGATGATTTCACCTTCCTTGTGAATGACTCAGAAGGTGGGTAAAGGATCTCAGTGATGCCACGTAGAACCATCATGTTACAACTCATTTTAAAAAAAAGGGTTCATGTAGACCTAGATTTTTTTTGTAAGATAGGGCGCAAACGAGCATACGGCTCACTTAATGGTAAGTGATTACCGCTGCCCATGAACAACTGCAACACCAGGGGAATTGCAGATGCGTTGCCGGCTTTTTAAAAAGGAATAGGCCCTTTTCTTGAAGGGGACCAAGTCGTATCGGTCCGGAAAAATCTCTGGTGGTAGTCGATTCCATAAGGAAGTTGTGCGAGGAAGAAAACTTCTTTTAAATCGCACAGTGGTGGACCGCCAGTCAACCAGATAATATGGAAGGTATCGCGAGTTATGTCGCGATGTGCGATGGTGAAATTGTGCGGCTGGAATTAGTCCGAACCATTCCTCAGAGCACTCCCCGTGGTAATGCAACATCTCTTCGCAGTGCCAGTGAGTCAGGCCGATCGGAAAGAGCTCGGTCGTCGACGATTCGAACAGCTCTACGCTGAATGCGATCAAATGGAAGGAGCTGGCACTGGGGAGCCCCAGCCCAGAGATGGGAACAGTATTCCATGTGCGGCCGAACTTGCGCCTTGTAAAGTTGCAGGCGGTGAGCCGGCATAAAATACTGTCCCGATCTCCTGAACAGTATTCCATGTGCGGCCGAACTTGCGCCTTGTAAAGTTGCAGGCGGTGAGCCGGCATAAAATACTGTCCCGATCTGCTGAACAGGCCAAGTTTTTTAAAGGCTAATTTAGCCTTCTCTTCCAAGTGATCACGAAACTACACGTCACTCGATATGCCGTCGCCGAGGATTCCGATACTGGCAGAGGCAACAAGGGGAGTACCTTGATACTGAGGAGATACGACGAAGGGGTTCTTTTTAGCGGTAAACGCGCAAACTTGTGTCTTCTGAAGTTAAACTGGACCAGAATTAGTAGTCCCCAGTCCGAGACTTTGTTCAACAAAGTCTCGACTTCAGACACAAGTTTGTCCCGGTACTCGGCGACGTTTCCCCGAGAAATATTGGCACGGCCGGTGTATAAAGCATCACCAGTGCTGTCGTCTGCATAGCAATGAATGTTACCTGTTTGCAACATGTCATTGATATGCAGAAGAAACAGCGCTGGTGATAGCACGCAGCCTTGTGAAACACCAGCGTTAATGGGCTTGTAACGGAGCACGCACCGTCTACAACGACCTTGATGCTTCGATCAGCAAGAAAACTGGTGATCCAATTGCACAATTTCTCGGGAAGCCCATAGGAAGGAAGCTTCGTAAGAAGCGCTTTGTGCTAAACCCGATCGAAGACCTTCGCTATGTCCAAACTAACGGCCAACGCCCCCCTCCCTCTTGGACTCTACTGCCTTCGCCCATTTATGTGTTAGGTAACCCAGAAGATCACCAGCCGAGTGACCGCCACGGAAACCGTACTGGCGGTCACTAATCAGCAGGTGATCCTCAAGGTACCGCATGAGCTGGCTGTTAATAATGGATTCCATTATTTTAGAGAACAAGGATGTGATGGCGATAGGCCTATAGTTGGACGGATCAGAGCGGTTACCTTTTTTAGGGATCGGGTGCACGAAGGCTGTGACGATATCACCTAGCTGATGGTGGACTACGAAAGGATCTCAGTGGCGGCACTACATAGAACCACTGTGTTTGGACTCATTGGAAGGAGCTCATAAAGACCTAGGTAACCGTGATAAACTCAAATTTCTGATGGCCGACTCTGTTATGTAGCTGAGTGAAGGATATCTGTTATGCCACTACGTAAATCCATCCAAGATGCCTGTGATGTCACCTAACTGATGATGGTGGTTCTACGCAGAACCATCTTGTCTGAACTCATAAAGGCCTAGGTCACTGTGGTGATTTTAACTCCATGATGATGGACTTGATGTGGGATAAAAGATTTCAGTGATGCCACTACGAAACACCATCGTGTTTGGCCTCATTTAAAAGGGCTCGGGTAGACTAAGACTTAGTAAATATGCCATGATTTTAAGAAGTAACTAAATAGTTATAAAATACCCTTTATTGTGAATAGTGGCTTATGACCAGACTGTGTAATTAGTAATTACTCACTTAATTTATTATGTTTTCAGGCAAATAAAAACCAGCAAAACTCCCTAGAAGGTACAAAATTAAAAATCTGCCCCATATTGTACAGGCATGCAATAAAAAAGGCACTACAACTAGAAGATGAAAATATCTGCATATACTTTAAGAAAACCTACAAGCGCCATCCACACCAATTTCTATAAATGACCCACTTATGAATACAATGATTTTTGACTGGAATTAAGATGTTTAGATTTTGTAAATAAAACAATGTTGTACTCAATGATTTATTACACGAATACTAGACATTTAATAAAACAATTTTTTCAGATTTTATTGTGTTTAATTAAACTTTATTCACTTATTTAAATTCCCGACATTTGGGTGCCTAAACTTTATTTTAGAATGTAACATGTAGCGTGCTCAATCAGATAAACATAGCAAGATGGGTCATCCTATTTTCTTTATTGAAAACCGGTAAGCACTTATCAGGTCATCATAAGACCTTCAGAATGTGCCTATTCCCACGGATTTTCCGGGCGCACCGTAATCTACTGGCTTCATGTTCAGTTCATTTGCTTCACGCCAAAGCCAAACCGACCGTTAGTGAACAGGGCTCCGTCACTCGTTCAAGGTCTCGCGTTATAAACATACGGCTAACGTACTCCGGGTAAAAACTTAAAAATAAATAACACGTTTATAAAATAAATAAAATTAATCATAATTAATAAAATTATCAATAATATCTGATCCATTTATACGGGCTTAAAGTTCGTGACAATAAAAACTGCCGATTGAATTACCAAAATTGACACTTTAATTACTGAACACTAATTAAAACTTAAATCACACTAATAATTACTCACACTTAACACTTTAGTTTACTTTATTTCATTCCGAAAGCTTCGCTCGTATCGCCAATTCAATACTGCCCCGGTCTCGGCCCTCAGCGGCTTTAAATATGCCTTTTCCACTGAAACATCCAGAATGTTCCAGCAAATACCGGTCCCGATCGACTAAGTGCAGAAAGTTCGAGAGTGGATTCATTACTAGATGCCGCTGTTGGGAGAGTTCCAGAAAGATCTTGACACTCCTATTTCTGATACTTGATACCAGATGACACTAGTGCCATCAACTGTGGCGCGCAATACTTATCATGAATGAAAATATCCTCTGAAATTTTATTTTTATTTTAATAGGTAGGAAATTACCATAATATGTGGCAAGTTCCTGCCATTTTGATAGGATTGACCGCTTAGCCTCTGGCATAATCGATTGACGTTCTATTTAACGTGGCATTATTTGGCTGTATTGGGGTATTAAAAATAGATTTCATTATGGAAACTCTAAATGCTGCAAATGGTAACCCTAGATTCTTCGCCAGAATGTGCTCATCTATCTATTTCATACCAAAATTTAAAGATTTACTTTGATTCAAAATATGTTTATAACTGGTTGAATAATAAGGGTTCATATTTCAAAAGGTTTTATTGCGTTAACAACTATAGGATATAACTAATCTACTGAATCATTTCCTCCTCCATAAGCTTCGCCATCCACTCGGGTTCTGCTGCTGCTATCTTTTCAATTAGGCTGTTTACTTGGTAACACAAACTTTGGATCTGTTTGTCCCATTGCGGTAGTATCTCGCGAGCTAAAAAAATAATAAGAAGAAAAAACGTATATTTATAAATGTTATAAGTTCACGTGTGTAAAGGATTAGTTTTTAAAGTTCCGCTGTGAGACAGGGAAAGCTTATAATTTCTTTCTGTGTTAAAATGACTTACAGTATCCAAGAATTTTTTAGAACCCAAAACTTCGAAAAAAAAGATATTTTGTAAATACATTATCTACATATATACACAGGGGATTGAAGTGATGGGAGAAAAATATGTTATAATTTTTATAGTAGCGTAATATATATGAGGGGAACATTATTTCTAAACTCATCACTACTGCACTGGAAAATAATTTCAAACTATACTGGACTGGAAAGGGCGGTATTAACATCGAATACATCACTCACTTCTATATGCCCACAATATAGTGATCATCGTGGCAGAATTGCTGGAGTACTTTACTATTTTGCTCTATTACCTCAATAGTATCCCAAAGGGTAGGACGAGCCAAATCATGTCTAAAATCCATGGCACACTTAAACTGTTAGTTGGCATATAATGGTAAAGATATTGTAATTTTTTATATATTTTTTGATTTTTTATTATTATTATACAATGGTATGTATAATGGTGGTAGAGCTACGTTGCAGCAATTATGGCAGCGTAAAATAGCAGCTTAATGCTGCTGCGTTTTGTGTGGTGAGTGTAAAGAACCAGAGACCCCATTTACTGGAAACGAGGCATTTCATCGTTTAGCAAACTTTGAATGAGTCCATTAACACTGTTAGCCAGAGTCAATTACCTACACAGGATGGCACTTCTATTCCTGAAAATGACAACGATTTGAGCATTACCATTAATACTCTTCCACTTCTCTAACTCTTGCTGAAATGGCAAGGCGACACTGGAAGTTTTTAGAACTGGCCACTTGTAAACGATATAATAAAAAAATAAGACCCTTTTTACCGAAAACGAGGCATTCCATCTTAGCTCTCACGGGTGACAACGCATCTGCAATTTGATTCGTAGTCGAGGATAAATGTCAATGGGCCACAGCAACCACTTACTACTAAAACTTACGACGATACTAGTAAACATTACGTGTGTGATATGTGCCATATAAATTAATAATTATAGTATATTTTAAAGATTTAATTATGTCGTTCTTAACCCGTCTGGGGTAACCACACTGTTTCCATTTTCCCGCAGGATGATCTCAATTACCCCATAGGGTTATTAGATAAATAGGAACGGCAATGTTTTTCGTGTTCATTCATATTTCTGATAAAACTTTGATTTTTAAGTTTTTTATTGTCACTAGTAAGTAGATAGATAAGCAAAATCTATGTTGGAATAAAAGTTGATCATTTGTGACTTTTTCTATTATTTTTGAGCATTAGAAGTTAAGTGTTCCAAATTCTTCCACTTTCCCCTATGTATACCACGGAGTTGTATTATCATTTACGACGGTTACTGTTTAACTTTAAATAAAGTGTGCACTTAATTAAGGACAGTGTTTTCTTAGTCATATGGCGGCGCTGTCGTCGCGCCACAAGCGAAACACACCGAAGTCTAAATCGCGCTATCAAAATTCCGAATCATAAACAGTATATATAGAACATCACCGAACTATCACACGGAGTGTTGGCCGCTCCCCGGGCAGAACATCTTGCCCGGCGGGAGATCTCCCCTTTTCCTACCACGGTCACAGTCATATTAAACAAAACCAGAGTTAGATTGTTGAAAACAACCTCGCAGTCGATTAGAGGATTTACGAAACTAAGATGAACTTAGTACGCAATGTATTAAGAACACGTAGTAAGACCGAAAATAACCATTCAGAATAGTATAATGTATTAAGACATCTTACATCTAGTAGTATATTATATAGAAGTCGTTGGCCAAAAGCATTAGCCTTTTCTCCCGGCGGACGAGCCGATGAGCAGCTTCTTTACTACCAATTATCAAAAATAATTAGCGGGCCGCAATTTGTAATTAGTTCAGGAACTATGCTTTTATATCAATTCTTACCGAATAGACCTTAGTTAAATATAATACACAAAATTAAATTCAATTACTTTCAAAATGGACAACAGAGCTGATCTGATCGATGTATCCATTCATCCGGCCCTCGCTTATCATGTGACTAGCAATTCTCTCGGCTTTGGCGGGAGGAGTCTCTAGCAACGCTCCCAACTCTTCGAAAGTAATGTTGTTGTACAGTTTACTGGCCGATAGCAGATTGTGCTCGAAAACTGCACGGTCAAGTATCGTAGATCCATCTGATGTTGTGGCCTGTACATACAAAATATAAAAATATAGTACAGCATATTTATATGACCCACTATTGGGCAGAGCTAACTCACCTCCTCTCATTACTGAGATGGTTTGGAATTGCTCCAAACCATCTCAGTAATAATGGTTAACCGTACTGCTGCAGTGCACCTTGGTGGACTTCATGTGTCCTCAGAATATATTTTATTAATCAGACTCCTAGGCAATAAAGAAACTGCCAACTAGACTTGTACACTATGAGGTCCCTTGGGATCGTTTCTACTGTTAAAGTTAAGTTAAAGAAATTATCTGTGTGGCTACATTCTTGACCTTTTTTGTTTTTTGTCTCATATGTCTTGAATACTCATGATAATTTTACATCACGCTGCAAATATATTATGGTTGTAGCACAAATGGGTGGCTCAACCAGGGAGCAGCATGAATACCAGTGTAAAATAGCAGCTTAATTCTGCTGTATTTCGTATGGTGAGTGTCCAGAAACAAAAAAGTTTTTTACTGAAAAAAAACTTTAAATCTCAGTCCTCAGGGGTGAAAACGCATCTGAATATTGATCATTAATCGAGGATTGATGTCTATACGCCACAGGATTCACTTACCATCAAGTGAACTATGCGCTCGTTTGTCACACTTATTCTTTAAAAAAAATATAACATTACCTTTTGATGAGTTTGCATTAAAGCTTCAAATTCATGCAGCTCTGAGCGACGAATAATGCGGTCAAGATACATCTTCTCTAGAATAGAATAGGCTGGTAGCTGCTGGCATCGCTCATCTTTGAACAGTGTTGCAAGCATCCTAGATCTTTGTTGACCTGTATAATTTTTGATTAAAAAAAATCTAATTTGTTCAAGAATCTTTATATAAGTAATCGCTGGTGTTTCTGTTAGTGATCAAGTAACTTCTCACAACAATACAAATATATTGTCTATTCATCATTTAATATATTAGTACTGTTGTGACAATGGTTCACACAAAATGTTCACACAAATGGCTATACTGAGATCTGAAAGGTAGTATATAGTCAACTATCTAACTGTACAAATTATTTAAGGACCAACATAAGATCAGAATCATTGAATCGACCGACATAACATTCACAGTATTCATGTCTAATAGTTATACGTCTTGTACTAAGCTGAAGCTGAAGAAGTATACCAACAGGCTCGAAAACTATAGAAGACGCCAATGGTCGCGGCTATAAAATATGTGATTAACAACAATTATATTGCACTCTTGCTTGCATTTACTGGTCTCATGAAAGGCCTAATTGTGCGCGATAAAGCTTATCATTTTTAAGTTTAAAGAAAATTGTAAAAAAAATAATAACTTACGAAATAAAATAATAATTTTTTTTCTTTTCGCACTCAAACTATCGACAATGCATACTGAACTGAAAAAACTGTACTATTGCAATACTAGGCTGCACTAAAAGTATCGGGAATGGAATATTTCCACTGTTCCTGTCATATTAAATTCTTTTTAATTGAAAACTCCTTGGTTTTAAAAATCAAATACCATTTATTTATTTTAAAAAAAGATTCTCGGTCTTGTCACAAGTTTTTGTCAAACTTGTTTAGTCGTTGAGAAAATGGAATTGACTCGAGAAAATTCAAGAGCGATGATTTATTATGACTTTCGAAGTGGTTTAACACAAAAAAGTGTGTTGACCGGATGATTTCTGCATTTGGTGATGAAGCCCCATCCAAAACCACAATTTATCGCTAGTTTGCTGAATTTCAACGTGGACGTGTCAAGCTCAGTGATGATCCCCGTCAAGGTCGTCCAAAAACTGCAGTCACCCAAGAAAACGTTGATGCTGTGCGTAAGCTGATTGAGGAAGATCGACATGTGACATACCGCGAAATTCAGGCAACTTTAGACATTGGCATGAGTCAAATACAAATAATCTTGCATGAACAATTAGGTGTAAAAAAGTTGTTTTCCCGATAGATACCGCATTCGCTCTGTGAAGAGCAAAAAACGGCTCGCGTTACTTGGTGCGTCAGAATTCTCGACAGATTCCACGCAGGATCCTCAAATGCTGTATACAACATCGTATCAGGTGACGAATCCTGGATATACGCGTACGAACACGAAAAAAAACCAGTCACGAGTTTGGGTATTCGAAAATGAGTTAAAGCCAACAAAAATTGTTCGTTCACGGAGTGTTGCAAAAAAAATGGTGGCCACGTTTGTTTCCAAAACCGGCCATGTTACGACTATTCCTCTTGAGGGACAAAGAACGGTTAATGCAGAATGGTATGCTAGCATTTGTTTGCCACAGGTCGTTTCTGAACTCCGTAAAGAGAACTGCAACCGCCGCATCATCCTCCATTACGACTGGTGCGAGTTCTCACACCGCATACAGAACAAAAGAGTTTTTAGAGCAAGAAAACATAGAATTATTAGACCATCCGCCGTACAGCCCCGACCTTAGCCCTAATGATTTCTATACTTTCCCTAAAATAAAGAATAAATTGCGTGGACAGCGATTTTCATCACCTGAAGAAGCTGTGGACGCCTACAAAACGGCCATTTTGGAGACCCCAACTTCTTATTTTCATTCACATACATACATACATAAACACTCACGCCTGTCACCCAGAGGGGTAGGCAGAGACTACGGACTTCCATTTGGCACGATCCTAACATAACTCTTTCGCCTCCTTTACATCCATATATCTACGCATACATGCTCGTCGGTTAAGGGTACTTCTAACGTGGCCCAAATTCAAAATACCGCCAATTTGGACGATAAACTTTTTTCTAGGGCGTCCCTTCCCGACTCTGCCGTTCACATCTGCCATATAAATTTGCTTTGTCACTCTTTCCTCATTCATTCTTTCTACATGACCAAACCACCGAAGCATTCCTTTCTTAATCCTGGTCACAACATCATCTTGCATACCACATTTATCTCTTATCACGCAATTTCTCACCCTGTCATTCAGATTCAACCCCAGCATATTCCTTAAAGACCGCATTTGTACAGCATTTATTCTACTTTCGTGCTTCTTCTGCCACACCCAGCTTTCACTACCATACATTAAAGTAGGGACTAACACAGCATTATGAATTACCATACGTGCCTTTTTTGACACATTCTGGTTCTTCATAATAGAGTGTAGTACCCCATTCACTGCTAAATACACATCCCAAATACACAAACTCATCCACTTGCTCAATTAACTCTCCTTCTATTCTTATTTCACATACCGTTTTGCTTTCTTCTCTTTCAAAAACCATCACTTTCGTCTTACTTGCGTTCACTTTCATTCCCCTTTCTTTTAATTCCCAGTTCATTAATGTAACCATCATTTGCAACTCAGCCGCCGATGAAGCAAATATGACTTGATCATCGGCATACAAAAGGTATTTGACGGTTAACTCGCCCATTCTTAACCCACATTCTTCATCTTTCAAAGTTTGCAAACACCTGTCCATAAATAGGTTGAACAGCCAAGGGGAAGCTACCCAGCCCTGTCTGATACCTTTTTGGATGCCAAACCAGTCCGAGTAGACCCCATTGATCGTGACACAAGCACTAGAGTCCCTATAAAAAGACCTTAATGCCTGTATCAAACCAGCGCTCAACCCATATGAGTTCAAAGTCCATGAACGCACAAAAAACTTTCTGGTTTTTGGCCAAAAACTTCTCCGCAATCACGCGCATGGAAAAGACTTGATCTGTACACCCCATTCCCTTTCTAAAACCCGCTTGCACATCCCAAATTTTTCCATCAGTTTCTTTCATAACTCTTTCAATTAACACCTTAGCATACAGTTTACCCACAATACTAAGCAAGCTGATACCACGGTAGTTTTTGCAGTCCTGCTGTGACCATTTTCTTTATATATTGGTACTATAACTGCTTTACACCAGTCATTTAGTACCCGTTTTAATTCCCAACATAAATTAAACAAGGTGTACAGCAGGCCTGCCACCATTCCCTCTCCAGCCCTTAGTATCTCGAGTGATACTCTTATCATATCCAGCTGCCTTACCTGCTTTCATGCTTTTCATTGCTTTAATTATTTCATCTACACTTATCTCCATACCCCTTTCCACTTCTTTCGGAATTTCTAGTTCATTTAATTCAGACGACACTTCACTCATAAACACGCTTTCAAAGTATTCCTTCCATCTATTTAAATTCAAAACTTCATCATTCAGAATACATCCATTCTCGTCTCTTATAGCATTAATTATAGGCTGTTTTGTATTTCCCCTGGCAGTTCTTACGAGTTTCCAGAACATTTTTATACTAGCCTGGAAATTATCAGATATCCTTCTATCATTCACATATGCCTTGATATTATATTAATCCTTTTTGTACAATATTTCTTCAATAAAACTTGTTTATTGAGAAACTGAACATTTTCTGGGATATTGTTGTATACATGGATTATGTTGTAAAAGCATATACAGTGCAACAAAGCATATAGATTACTATACCTGCAGATGCAAGCACGGTGCAGATGAGAGCATTCCTCAGGCAGGTCATTCTTTCATCCTCATGTATTATATTGCGATAAGATAGTTCATTGTATCTTTGTGCAGCTTCTATGAACTTCCTAAAATACAATTAACAAAGCATAGTTATAATTCACAGCTTAAATATAAACAAAGTAAACCATAAGTTATTCTTATTAGAAATGAAAAGTGATTTCCTATAATTGCATAATAAAAAATAAACACTAAAATAATACTGCATTTTAGATCTACAATTAATAATTAAAAGCTGAAAGTAGCTCAAGTTAACTATAACATCACACATCAAAAGTCTCTGTCCTCCCATGGGAACCTTGGGTGCTGAAAAGCTTAAAATGTCAAAGTTTATTTAAAATCAATACTATTAATATTACTTAGTAGAATGGAATGTAATAAATTAACAGCCTTATTATCCCTTCCAAAGCAGAAAGATATCCATATTTTGTCATAGAATTAAGTTGTAAATTTAAAAAAGCACTTTTATATATGTGTTATACTGTGTTTCGTATGGTGAGTGTTGAAAACCGGAGATCCTTTTTACTGGAAACGAGGCATTCCATCTTAGTCCTCACGGGTGACAATGCATCTGCATTTTGATTCATAATCGAGGATAGATATAGATTTCTATGGGCACAGCAACCACTTACCATCAGGAGGACTGTGTGCTCGTTTGTCACACTATCCTATAAAAAAATGTTTACCATTTATATATTTGATTCTCCTGTTGAATCCTTCCTTGCTTTGCATTAATCGCCGTTACTAGCTAGTGCACCACATACAAGTAGGCATATTTACTAAATAGTTATACTACCAACTGTCATGAAGCTTTGAGATTTTTCAGGTTTTTTTTTTTGTCTACTCTTATGACATGGGTGTCCATATGTATATGTATGTATATGTATGGGGTAGACAAAAAAATGGGACATTTTGTTGCGATGAATTCTCTTATACTGCCCACCAAATTACAATCATCATTTATGACTTTTATAATTTATTAATCAGGGTGTGTGTAAACACCGTTATCCTTGAAACCAGTGGTTTGGTTTCACTTATAGAACGTAAATTCAATGAAAAATAACAACATTTTTTTTTTAGTAAAATCTCAATTTTTCCTTAATTCCTCAATTTTTGCCTGTCCTAAGCCAGGATGAAAGTATGAAGGAAAAGTTACATCACAGGTTATACCTATTGTGTTTTTATTGGAATGTTGTGTAGGTAGCTAGGGCGAGCGATCATCTTTACAGTGATTACGTCACTCGGGCGCATAGGGTATCCATTAATTTACGGACGGTGTCGGACAGAAACTTTTTAAATTTTATGAAAGAAAATGGCGTTTTTTTTTAAATTCGGATAAATATTTTTATATTAAAGCCAACTACCTATGGTTTAAGTGACAATGGTGTTTACACTTACACCTTGTATATGCAGACATTGTAAAGCAATAAATATCTTTACATTTTTAAAGTTCACTTACCTTCTGTAATCCAAAACTCTTGCATAGCACACTTTGTAATATATTTGCAACTGTTCATTAGTTGTTTCTGCTTGTAGTAGTGAGGCTCTGTTAACGAATGCCTCAGCCTGTACAGGATCATCAACTTCAAGATAAAGTCTGGCTATTTTCAAATAGGTTTCCAATTTGTAATCTACTGAATATTGCCTACAATTAAAGATATTTAATTGAATTAAGGTTTTAATTAAAAATGTATAGAATTATCACTTACTCTTAGACATTAATTTAGGTATTGCAATCCAGAAAACCATATCCAGTAATACGGCATCATTAAACATCTTTTGTATATTAAAAATAAGAAGTTTTCTTTCTTTTGATTGTAGTGCCACTAATTAAACAAGTTTATAATTATTATTTATAGTAACCAAGTAGTGGCAGTGTAAGAATATTCACTAACAATTAGTATAATCAAGAATATATACAATAGAGGGAAAATGAAACAGGAGATGGGTAGCAGCATCTTCTTGATAACAACCCAAAATAATAAAATACAATAGTTGCCAACCTGCTTATCAAGCATGGCAACTATCCCTCCATGAGACAATCTATGAGGGAGGCCTAAGTTCACAGTGGACTTTTATAGGCTGTAATTAATAATTATTATTCTTCCATCCATCCATCCATTAACTGGTGTCCCTAAATTACAGTGGACCCTTGGTAATACGGAACCCCCTGTAATCTGACATTTTAGTTATAACTTTTACGCCCCACCACTATTGCGCTCGACGCATGGGTGTAGGGTATTGTTTTGATTCTGATTGAAAAATTTGATTCTGAAAATGGTTGAAAGATCATAATTTTCCTCAAAAAGCATTATTGCTTCTTGTTAACATTCTTAAATTGATGTTTCTTATATTGATTGATTCATAATTTTTGATTATTTAGTATGTACATTTGTTTGTACACAATTATTTCCTAATGTGCATATTTTTTGTAAGTTCTATGGCATTAATGACATTAATTTTATAATAAAACATAAGCTCTATATCTACAGAAGTATTAAATAAGTACTCTAAAGTACAAAACATTCATTATGTTATATATATATATATATATATATATATATATATATATATATATATATATATATATATATATATATATATATATATATAACATATATAACATATAGAATCTTATCATTGGATCTGTAATTTGTCAGATTACAAGGTACTCTTTTGTAAAAAATTCATGACTATAAGATCCCCTGTCTTAGTGTCTCAGAGTGTATAATCCGACAAATTGAATAGTTTGACACTGCCCTACAAAATGTGTGAGATTACCGGGGTTACTGTACCTTATTCTTGTGATCGCATTTGGTTAAGATTAATTAAGTAAGTTTCAATACAAATCACTAACATTACTAGATATCATTAATGACGGTTGCTCTGAAATTTAATTAGACAATATAAGTACTAGATTCATTTGTGATGTTTTTTTTTGGTTGTTTCATAATTTAAATTAAATACAGTTGATTTCAAAAGCTTTTTCATAACCGTCAAACAAAGAAACAGTAAATGCTATTTCAACTCCGAAACTAGAAATTGAAAACGAACCAATGAACCAGGAATAACGCTTCGCATACACCTAATCCGTCATCGCCCGAGCAAACTTCGGTTGAACTCGGACGATTGAATCAAACACTTGTAAAATAAAGAGAGCGAGTACAACACGACCGTCATCCACCGATAACGTACGAAAACGGCCGATAAACCGTCGAGTCCGAACTTGTTGTGATTCTTCGTCTTCTCTCTTTGAGTGTATTTATAGTTTAATTTAATCATTCTGTCTTTATTCTGTTGTTTATATCTACCTAAATGATTATGGATGTGAAAAATGACGATGATGATGTTGACGAATGAAATTGCAGTATGAATTTTTTAAAAGCTACATTTTTTGAATTCCTACATTTTGAAAATGCGTCTTCACTCTGTTAAGACACAGTCAACTACAGAATACCGGCAATGTTCAATGTCGGCACAAATGGTACACCATTGCAGTGTAAGCACATACATGTCAGTTACTCGTCCGGGTAGTTGTGTCCACCATCCGCCGACAAAAACGGTTTTGGTGTAAACATACCTTTAGGTTAAACTTAAGTAATAACGATTTCTAGTAATGAATGAAAAGACAAAGACATACTTTTGACCAGTTTCAAGGGGAATTCCAACTAGTACGTTTGCTGCTTCTTTCCAGTTTTGATGTCTCTCATAGATATCTGCTAAGTGCTGTCTAATACTTGCAACCTATGTAGAAAAAAACCAAAAAGTTTACAAAAAATATTAACACAATAATTTAATGGTGTTTAAATTTTTACCTGCTCCTCAAATGATATAACACGGGGTTGAATAACATCCAATGCAAAATGAGAAACCTCTTGTGACACATCATCAGGCAACAATGCTAAATGAGTGCTAACATCAGTCAGTAGTTGACGGGATATTACCAAACTAACATTTTCATTTACAACTGCCGAAAAAAAATTTAATAAATTCTTAGTAAAAGATAATTTTTAAGAAAAGAGAAAATTGTTAGAAATATTTTTAATCGATAACAAATAATACGTACTTGCTTCAACAAATGCTTTTAATGATTCGGCCAATTCAGCAGGATTTTGAAGTATTTCTAACAAGACATTTCGGTACCTGAAAATAAATAACACTAGTTATAATGTTAAATTCTGGTAAATAATAATTTACCATGTTTACTTACTTTTCTGCCTGGTCTTTATGCAAGCCCCCTGAATTCCGCAGTTCACTCAAATATTGACGTACTCCTTGCAAAGTAATTGGCATTTTTATCTTCAGTCTTCAATTACAACTTTTTTAAATAACATCAATTCACATCAAAAATGAAATAAACCTGTGAAATAGGCATGTCAATCTAAAATCGATTAATTGAAAAATCGATTATTTGGAGTAAAATAATCGATCTTTTAGATCGATTCAGAGCACCGCATCGATTTTACGTATCGATCCAAAAACCTCTGGAATCGGACTGATTCGTCTGATTCAAGAACTAGCGATAAAGGTCCTAACTGGCTGGGGTAAGAAGTTAGATACCGCAGTTTTTTAATTTTTAGCTGTTGGCGGACGCAAAAAGAACCAGTAGTACTTGGTTGATAATTTGAACGCAATATATATTAGAATAAAATAGATATTTATGAACGCATCCAAATATATCGAAAAGTTGTTTTTCATTTCTAAAATTCTAATTCTAATCTTAGGTACCTGTGGAATGTAGGTCTAACTGAATCTGTGCTGTGAACAAAGACCACAATGTATAGGAGTTTTGGCGGGAACTCGGCCGTAGACGGATTGTCGCTCCTGTTTTGTCGCTTGAATAATGGTTTGAAGTGGATTTTGATTCGTAAAAGTGATGCGATTTTGTTAATTAAGTGTCCGCGCGTGTGAAATATTATAGAAAATGACGAAACAAGTGCTTTGATGTCGATATAAACCTCAAGTTATTTTGATCGCTTGGGCACCTTATGAATTTGAGTGGCTGTCGTCATCAACTGTCCGCCAGATTGAGCTGTCGTGCAAATCTCCCAAGGGCTTCGCAATGTGACGCATCAGCATATTGTGAAGAAAAAGAACATAAAATGAAAATTCCCAAAGAAAGGATAGGCTCAGAAGGTATAGAAACCAGAGCCGTAAAGGCAGTTAATAAAGAAAGTTACTTTAATTGTTCGCGACGGCCTAACAACGCTAAGAAAGAAAGTGATGAAAGAATATTGTTTTTGTATTAATAGAGAAATTACCGACAAAACTGGGTGAAAACTTGTATTGATATTGTTGTGTAGCATGTTTATAACTCTTAGTATATTTGTATAGAATGTCGTTTTGATAACAATTGATTAAAACAACTTTTATTGTATTAAGAAAAATCAACCAATCGCAGCGCGTCGTATCGTAGAATTCTCTAGAAATTTTTTAGTTCATACTGAAAATAATGAGAATAATTTTATGTTCTAAAAGAGTTGTAAATATGACATTGAATTAGCATATGGCTTATAGATTAAGGAAGTGTAGGAATATTTTGTATGATTAAACGCGTTTGGTAGTTATAGAAAAATGAAAGAATTAATGTACCAAAATATTATGAAAATTTGGGACATTTCGTTTAATAACTTTTTACAATGTTAATGTTTTGAGTAACCTTTATGATATACTAATAAAGTACCAGACTACCGATTTGATGATGTATAGCATGTTAGTGTAGCAATTAGTTTTGTATAGAAAATATTGTAATTTATGCCATTTGCATAGTGAAAAGTTTATGCAATAAAGAGACAAAACGGAAAATGGCAAGCGGCTCACTGTAAGGTATAGCCAAAGTCTACCTTAGGGGCTCGGGACCCAGTAAAAAGTAGTGTGAAGAACTACCAGTGACAAGCAGTAGTATCCGGTAGTAGCTGAAGTGACTATTAGCAGTATATAGTGAAAGTGTTAGCTAGCCGTAAAAGGTCGTAACTGAATTTCGCAGTTACATATAGTGAAAGTGGTAACTGATATCCGCAGTTACAAAAATGATAAAATCAGCTAGTTTAGTTGATAATAGCTGCTAGTCAGTAGTGTTAGAAAACCAGCTACTACCAATAGATATTTGATACTACCGTACAATTTAAAGAAATCTTTTAAAATATACAGTGACCAACCAATAGTGAACAACCGTGGTCAATAAACAATAGTTATAAAATTTCGCGACTAATCAATCAGTCGAACCGCTGGCCACTACCTTGCTATTTGTATTTATAAATCTCAGCGGCACCCAAAAAGACGGCAGTGGAAGTATCCTCCGGAACCTATAGGTGTAGGACGTGAGCGACTCGCGAAGTATCTTCGACAACATTTAGTCCGAAGAGTTTCACCCGTCCGGCACATTAATTATTATCAAAAATATACATACTGTGAACTATGACCATAGACAGAGTATTTTTTAATTATAGTAATAATAATTTACTTTTTAATTATTTTGTACCTAGATACTGTAAATAAATAATGTTGAAGTTTTTAGGGGTTTATAGTTACGAAATAACCAGTACTGTTTTCATGTAGCATTCATTTTAATTTGATAAATAGTGAGTTATTAGATTGAAACCATTTATCGATAAATATACGTAGCAATCAGCACTACTGTTAAAGTATTATTGTTTTTTTTACAGTACGTTTGCACTGAGAAACATCCAACATGTAATGTTTTAAAACAAATCGCATGAAATAAATCACACAACATGTTTTGTTGATGGTAGCGTTCGCACTCACAAAAACTGTGTAAAATTTTCAACAGATATCAAGATTTGTTTTTAGCTGTGTTCGCATTGATTACAACATAGACATTTTACTTGTTTATCTATAGATTTGTCAACGTTAGCGTTCGCACTGTTGTTTTTTTATATTTCGCGATTTGTTTTAAATCGTGTTTTTCTGTTATCCAATTTAGTTGGTAAACATCACAAAACATTATCAACCCTAGCGGAGACGAATGATAACTTAATACAAAATATAAATGTGGTATCATCATCATCATCATTACAACCCTTTACAAGTCCACTGCCGAAAATAGGCCTCCCCCAAGGTATGCTACAAAGCACGGTCCTGAGCCACCTGCATCCATCGACTACGTGCATGTCTTACCAGGTCGTGACTCTATCTAGTGAGGGGTTGTCCTACACTTCGCCTACCGGTACGAGTCTGCCACTCGAGAACCTTTTTTCCCCAACGGTTTTCGGTTCTTCGAGCTATATGGCCGGCCTATTGCCACTTCAGCTTACTAATCCGTTGGGCTATGTCGGTCACTCTGGTTTTACTGCGGATATCCTCATTTCCGAGTCTACCACGCAGAGAAACTCCGAACATAGCCCTCTCCATAGCTCGCTGAGCGACTTTGAGCGTCCTCATACGGCCAGCAGTGAAGGACCACGTCTCGGTTCCGTAGGTCATCACTGGCAACACGCACTGGTGGTACAACTTTGTTTTCAGGTTTTGAGGTAGGTATACCTGACGAGAAGATGCGTCGTAATTTCCCGAACGCTGCCCAGCCGAGTTGAATCCGTCGATTGACCTCTCGGTCGAAGTTGGACTTACCTAGTCAGACTATTTGTCCCAGGTAAACGTACTCGTCAACAACTTCCAGCTTAGTGCTCCCAACAACTAGCGACATAGATGTGACACGGACATTAAACATGATATTTGTTTTGTCCATGTTCACCTTATGATCTATCCACTGAGAGGCACTATTGAGTGAAACTATTAAATGTGGTATATATCTCCACAAATTCCATCTTTATAATTAATCAGATTATTTGCAATTCTCTCGTGAGGCGGAAAAATTTTGTCCTTTTTTTGGGGTATTTTTTTAGGTTACCTGTCCCAGAGCTCGATATAAAAGAACATAATAAAATACAATACAAATTTCTAATTATTTATTCACTTAAAATACATAACTTAAAGAAATGTAGAAAACTGTTTATCAAATAATTTAGTTTGTCACTGCCATCTTCATAATGTGTTTTAAGTGACAAGAAATTTTTCTTCCACATGTTCTGCTAATTATATATATGAGAAAGAAATGTGAAAGCATGTACCACCTTTCTCTCAAAATTTTACAAAACTTACCATAGTTTAGGCTTATTCCAATAATCTGTGCTTCCTTGGAAATTATACAGGGTTATTTTGTGATAACCGGTCAAATTTGCAGAGAAGGTACAAGATAACTAATATAGGCCGTTAACCTCTCGAGCGCCCAAACGTCATAAAGTCGACAAGCGCCCCGGCCAAATTTAGCGTATGAATTTAAGTTGGCGGTCAACGTTTAAATGCTGATTTCGACGTAAATTCATTTATGAACACTAATCAATATATATATATTCAGAATCTGCATGAAATTTGCTTTATTATGTATATAAAATTAACTAATTCTGATAGCAAGTGAAAATATTTCAAGCGGTCTAATCACACAAATGTGTAAATGTATACACATATTTGTAGAAAAATGCATTTAAAAATCAATATGAATCATTAATACCGTTATAAAAGGTCTTATAATGTTATTTAGTAGTTATTTTATTAATATAAATAGGTAAAATCATCCTCTTCTCACAAAATTAGTCAAAGAAATAGATTTGAAAGCGAAGTTGCGAAAGCAAAATAATATCCTTGCAACAGATGTGAGTTCAAAGCAATTTTAGGCCTTGATTAGCCACTTAAAATATTTTTTGTGGTCCCCTATTATGCTCAACTTGTTAACGAGTTTCTTTTATAATACATCGCGTGTTTTAAGTAGTCAGATTTTCTATAATCTCACGAAACAAAAAAAAATCCACAAAAAATACCACTGCTAAAGATAAGGCTGTAAAAAATAAACTGATAATTTTATAAATGGATTGTTTTGTCAATAACTATACTGAATATGAAATTAATAAACATAAACACATATTTCTAATGATTTGCCAGAGTTATTAAAATCAACTAAAAACATTGACGAAATTTCGAACCAAACTGAGAATTAAGGACATAAAATGTATGGAGTCGTCTTTCGTCGAATATTTTATATTTATTTGTAAAGGCATATATTAATATATTAAATTCATCGGTGTTTTTATTTTTACATTTTTATAAAAAGTAAAGTAAAGTAAAGTTACAGCCTATATACGTCCCACTGCTGGGCTCAGGCCTCCCCTCATTTCTGAGAGGGTTTAGGGCAAGGAAGTGTCCGCCGCGCTGCCCAAATGCGTGTTGACGAACTTCACATGTCTTCGAAATATTTTTTTTCTTATTCCTCAGACATGCAG